GAGAGAGAGAGAGAGAGAGAGAGAGAGGAATTGGGTAATTAATTATCCCATTTCATGAAGCTGAAGAAATAGCAACTATTTTTCTGGAGGGTAGAGAGAGAGAGAGAATTGGGCTCTTATCGCCCAACAAGACTAGGACAGTACATGGGAGCTCTCTGTTTTGGGTGGGCAGTAACCTTAGAGAGAGAGAAAGAGAGGCGTATTTATTACCAGAGGCCGGAGAAGATCAGAGCAAGAAACTTGAAGTAAGCGCCCCTCTGAATTCGTGACTCTGTGATAACACAGACTCCCATGAAGAGAGAGAGAGAATGGGTTTTGTAGAGAGAAAGAGGCAATGAGGAGAGAGACGACGGTGTATAAGAAAGAGAGCAAATGGCAGTGTTTCTAACCCATTTGTAAAAGGGAATCGGAGCTCCAAAAGCTCGACGCGAACCACTGCCTCGTTGTAAAGTAAACAACGTGGAATCGATGGAGCATCACAATTCATAAGAAGAAGAAGACCATTTCTCTCCCTCTCTGCTGCTCCCCAAAAAACGAGTGAGATGGGCCGTCAAAGGATAATAAACTGCTGTGGTGGTGGTGGAAAAGGATAAGCTTTATCATTTGGGTGCGGTTTCTATAAGGTTGCAACCTTAGACAATCCAAATGGGGGCGTGTCTCTAAATTTTATCGTCAAAAATAGTTAAAACAAAGTAGATCTATAAATATTTCAAAATAAACGATCTTGATAATATGCTATTTTTTAAACTCATAAATTTTGTCTTTATGTTCATACAGAAGTTTTTTTAACATTAAAATCATAGTCTGAAATGGCTTTTTTTTAAGTGCATACATAATTCTACATTAAAGTTACAACTTTATATAAACTTTTTCCTTATTATTTATATTTTGATTTACTATTGTACAGTGCCGCTTTGAAGTCACGGAGGGTAAAATTCAATAATTATTATACGCTTGTTGTAGGTGGGAATCGGATTCGGTAAATTTTCTGAAACTGCCCTTATCTTTATCTTAAATGATCAATACTTGAAAATCACTACCATTAATTTGGGCGTCTTTGTACAGGTTCATTCAAATAGTTATAATAAGTTGTTTCATTAGGGCAAAATAATGAATGGAACCCTCATCTCCACCATCAAGTCCTATGTGCAGATGTCCTGTCCTTTCCTTCATGTTAGTTGGAAATGGGTGAAAGTTCATATTTTCCACCTTGGAATCAAATTTTATAAGGGAGACATACTGGCAAAGGACAAAACCCTCTTAACCATTCATGGAGAAAAATCTTATGTTAGCAAAAAAATAAAAAAGCCCAAATTTCTCCGATAGCTCAAAAGTTTGACTATTTAATATTTTATTCTAAGTGTAGTTTGATAAATTTCTAACCCCATCTTGATGTGTCATGAGTTATGGGTTATACAAAATTTGATTCAAATAGATATAAAATCTTTTGAAATTAAGATGAAAGATATAGGGTATAATTGTCAAAGTTTTTTTCCAACTAATTGGATTTGTCTACACAAATCCTGACTCACAATCATACTTTAAATCTTCATTCTTTTTATCACTACTTTCAACTATATTCTTTTGGACCTACTTCTTACTTTTATTGAACCCTAAATAATTAAAAGTCCTAGGTGTAATTTCTATAACTATAACCCATTGTTAATGGACTTATTCTGATATTTTAGATTGATGGGCCCTGAATTATTTCCCCCATGTATCTAAAATAGGAAGGATCCATCTGCCATTTGAGGTTCCATGGATGACTATCATTTAGCATTTTTTAGAGACTGCATTTATTGGGGAGCATGGTCAAAGGAGTCGCTTTCTTGGCATTTGAGTCGATTGAAGGATTCTATTCTCTTTTTAAACACCCTCTCAACCACCATACCCGAAATTTTAAAAAACTTCCTTCTTCAATTTCCGACCCTTTTTTTTTTTTTGGTATTTTTCTAATTACTGATGATAACGTATGCATGAGGCATACATATGACCTTTAAAAATACTATGAATGATGTTTTGCTCTTTTCTTTTTGACACGAAAGGTGCATTAAACGGGTTTATTGTGGGGGGGGGGGGGCTCATAGTTAAGATAATCATGCTATTCTCTCATGGCATGGGTTATTATTAGAAAAAGATGTTTGAAGTTGTATTAAAAAGTAGGGTTTGAATTTATGTACGGTTAGGCATATGATTGCCATCCATTGTTTACAAAATCGAATCGAAACAGTTAACCAGATACGGGCTTGGAAGCGGTATAACCGGCCTAATCGGTAAACCGGCCGATTCAACCGCGTTAATCGGGCAAGTCCCGGGACTGTCAAACAAGTGTTAAAAAAAAAAAAAAAAAAACCTACTAAAATATGAAAAGGATATATAGAATGATTAAAACAAGACACATTTAAATGAAATTGAAAATTAATGAAAAAAATGGATTTTAACCCAATTTATATTTTTCAAGGGCTATTTTTAAAATTTTCTAAAAGAGATGGGAAAATATAAAAGTGAGTTTAATGACCAATTTTTTTTTAATCTTTAGTATAATGTAAAGAATATTTAAAATTACATTACAAATCAAATTCCTTACTTTTGAGAATTTATATAATTTTTTTTTTATTTTTATTTTTAAATACCGGTTGATCACCCTAACTACCCAAAACCCAGCCACTAGCCGATTCCAATCTAACCGGGCAGTTAGCCGTTAGATTGGGTGATTTTACAAACAATGTTGCAATCCTAACCTACAATAAAAAATAGCAAAAATGCAATCTAATGGACAGGAATAAGTAGTTTGCTCTTTGATTTTTTTTTCTTTTATTTTTACTATTTATTTGTGATGCAAACATTAAATCCATTTTAAGTTTTGAGGTTAGTTTTATTTTCGTCTAAAAAGAATGAAAACTTTAAACTTTTTCTTAACCCGTTCCAAACTCGGATAAAAGAGGTGTAGATAGGATGTCAATGTATCTTCTTAACATTTCAATTGTTTATGTCTTCCTGATATAATTAGTCCCCCAAGTCAATTTTCTCCTTCCTTCAAGGGAGAGGGCCACCCCCCCCTCGTCTGATGCGATGTCGTTTTTTTTCCCTGAGAATTTTAGCATTTAAATGTGGACCCTTAAGAATTTATTTTGAAATAGAATTTGATATTAATTTTTAGGGAATATATAATATTTAAGTTAGAGATTATTAATCTATAAACATAAATAAATTTTAAAAGGAAAATTGTTTCATGCGGACTAGACCGCATAACTATATGTGGTCCAAAAAAAGTGTAAAGCATCCATCTTAAAGATGGATGTAAGTAGGTGCTCCATCTAAAAATAATGGAAACTAACGGTCCAAATATTTTCCTATTAGAAATATTATTTATAGTTTTAAAAATTTACTTATTTTTTCATATTCGTGATCTCCATGTTAGAGATTACATGTCCTTAAAAATATAGTCTAAAAATCCATCTAAAAAATATATTTATTAATAGGCTCGCATTTCATTGACCGCATAAAAACGGTCCATTTGAACCGTTGATTTTGCTTTTGCTTTGAAAGAATATTATTTACGGGACCTGGTTTTAGTGGATGGTGTAAATCTCCAAACCAACATAGTAACAAAAACAATTTTCTTTTTTACTTTGAAAACGTTACGAATATAACCCCAACTTCTTTGAGAAATATCGTCTTACCACGTCCAAACAAAGTCCACCACGCTCTTGAGATATTGACTATGGTTTGTGTGCTCATTCAACCAATAATTTTGTGTGTGATTTCAAGTTTTCCTTGATGTGCTTTTTAAAAGCTGTGTGCCATTATTATTCTTTCCTCTCACCTGTCTCCGTCCTCTAATTATTAGAAATTGAAGAAATATGGCCGGGCCCTCAAGAGGAAATGGGTTGGGGCATTGGTGGTTAGATAGGTAAGTGCCTCAACATAATGTCTTAGGCTCTATTTTTACGGTTAACGTTTTAAAATAAAATGAAATATAACAATAAAGAGTAATTGCAAATGGATGCCTCTTAATAAGAGATAGGCAGAGCCAGGACTAGCAATGGGCCAAGATGTTCAACAGGCGCGGTCTATATGATTTTTCTAAAGCCGGGTCACAAAATTTGGCCTAAGGAGTAGGCTAGCCTGGACCATCCCCCTTGGACCGGTCCTAGCCAGCCTGAGCACATGTTGGGCCTAGGAAAGGGCCCAGTCGCGGCCCACTACCGGGCCTAGTAACTTGTGTCAGCATTGCACCATGTTGCTCTACTTTTTAGTCTTAAGAAAGAAGTTAGAGTTGCGTCAGCATTGCTCCATATTACTCTACTTTTTAAACTTTCTAGTTTTTGATTTTTCACGAATTGATGGGTGCTTTTTCCCTTTCTTTATTTTTTTTAAGTCTTTTTCTTTCTTTTAACCAGTGCGTGGGTGGCAAGAGGGGCTACATCTCACGTTACTGTTTGACCGAATGCCTACGAGAGTACTTAGTAAGTGCTATGAATTTGGCACATATCTTTAAGAAAGTTATCCCGTGAATATGGGATTTGATTTTTTTAGAGATTTGTGTTAAATTTAATAATTATTTTTTGGAGTCCTATACATATAGGTGTGAGAAGGTCTCATAGGATCATTGCTCATTCATTTAAGGATGTAGTTAGCATGCGCAGCCAAGCCTGCACAAGAAGAAATGTGGGCTTGGTAATAAATATATATTTTAAATATGATTTGATCCTAATTTTTAAAGAATATATAATTTTTAACATGGAGATCATGAATATGAATAAATAAATAAATTTGAAAACTAGAAATAATAGTTATATTTAAAAAACATTTGAACCGTTAGTTACAATTATTTTTAGATGTACCACCTATTTGCATTTATCGATGGATGCTTTATACCTTTGGGCCGCACATTGTATAAATGTGGTCCAGCCTGCATGAAACAATTATTCTTCATTTAATATGTTAAAAATTGTAGAATATAGAAAGAGCTAAATAGATAAAATGGCAAACCAAGAAAATAAAATAAAAATTAAAATATAGAGTGATCTATCCTATCTTGATTTGTATATTAACGGTTTCATGTTTGGAGATTTTGAAGCTTTTCTTATTCAATCTATGGAAAGCCCTATTTTCTTTGGCATGACCTGCCATTTTGCCGATTTTTTTTTTCTTGATAAGAATACTGAATATTATTAAATCGAAGGAGCCCATTTCATCGATTTTTTCATCAATGAATCTTTGCAAACTGAGATCTAGATAAGCCTGAATAACCCCACTTACGTGAGGCGAGGTTCTTGGGCCGTGTTTTGAATCGAGAGATTTGAGGGTTCCCTCTAATCAGGGTCGGTATGTGAGCGTGTCATGTGAGTTGTGTATTATATTATTCATTTTTAAGTATCTTTCTTAAGTATTACATTTATTTTTAGAATAATTTCCAAAAAATGGACCACCCAAAAAGTACTCTCTGAGCATGAGGGCCAATTAATTGTTACTTGGTCAAAAGGATAATTCGGTCCATCTTTTCATAAGAGAAAGAAGTCGAATGTCACAAATTAATTTACTTGAAAGATTGACCGTATTCTTTTTGCCTTTCTTTTTGAGCGTCTACAAGAGACAGTCTGCTCTCTGCGCC